TGAGGCCCCTCCTTAAGAAGCCTTCCCTGAACCCAGATGTATTGGCCAACTATCGTCCAGTCTCCAACCTTCGCTTCGTGGCGAAGGTTGTTGAGAGTGTGGTTGCACAGCAGTTTCCTCGGCACCTGGAGGAAACAGTCTATCTAGACCCTCTCCAGTCGGGCTTCAGGCCGGGTTACAGCACGGAAACGGCATTGGTAACGTTGGTTAATGATCTCTGGAGGGCCCGGGACAGGGGCTATTCCTCTGTCCTAGTTCTTTTGGACCTCTCAGCGGCTTTTGATACTGTGGACCACGGTATCATGCTGCGGCGGTTGGGTGGGTTGGGAGTGGGGGGCACCGTGATGCGGTGGTTCTCCTCCTTCCTCACCGACCGCACGCAGTCTGTATTGGCAGGGGGACAGAGGTTGACCCCAAGGCCCCTAACTTGCGGGGTCCCACAGGGGTCGGTCCTCTCTCCACTTCTGTTCAATATTTATGTGAAGCCGCTGGGGGAGATCATTCGTGGCTTCGGGGTGGATTTCCATCAGTACGCTGATGACACTCAGCTGTACATATCCACCCCGGGCCATCCCAACGATGCCCTTGACGTGATGGCCCGGTGCCTGGAGGCCGTGAGGGTCTGGATGGGGAGGAACAGACTCAGGCTCAACCCGTCCAAGACCGAGTGGCTGTGGCTACCAGCGCCTCGGCATAGTCAACTGATTCCATCGCTGACTATAGGGGGTGAAACTTTGGCCCCCTCGGATCGGGTCCGCAACTTGGGTGTTCTCCTGGATTCGCGGCTGACACTGGATGACCAGTTGGCGGCCGTGACCAGGGGAGCGTTTTATCAGGTTCGCCTGATTCACCGGTTGCGGCCTTTTCTGGACCGGGACGCCTTACGCACGGTCACTCATGCCCTTGTCACTTCCCGCCTGGACTACTGCAATGCTCTCTACATGGGGCTCCCCTTGAGGAGCACCCGGAGGCTCCAGCTAGTTCAAAATGCGGCCGCGCGGGCGGTGTTGGGAGGGACTCGTCGCTCCCATGTTACGCCGCTTTTGCGCGAGNCTACTTCCTGTGTAGGAATATCCTCCCAATGTGCGTCTGAAAAGGTGGAACATTCACTTGTATGCCTGCATGGAAAATAAAATCCAGCAGGAAAATAAAATCCAGAAGGGTCAGTGTCTGAAAATACTGAGAATATTCTTAAGAATGTATTAATCATTGTACTTTGTTTTGCTTTTTTGTTGTTTTTTTCCCAATAAACCTACCACAAAGGCTTGTTCTAAGGTCAAAACTGTGAGTTTCTAAAAAAAATGTAAAAATCAGTATAAATAGCATTTTGCTATTTATGTGAAAGAGGAATTGAAGTCACTATTTTCATCATTCAGAATTTGAGTAATACCAGTGACAATCTCAGATGCATGTATCTGGGCTGTAAATTAAATAGCAAACGTGATAGATTTCTGACAGAAAGGGTACAACAAGTGAACAAAAGCTGAGATTTGTGGTGCAGGTTCCTGTCTGTCATTGGATGTGCAGACTGCTTTTGTTCTTTAGCTAATAATTGAGGAAAGAGCGAACATGAAAAATAAAATTGATTTTATATTGTGATTTATTGTATACTTAAGAGAATGGTTCAATACCGAATGGGGAATAAGATAGAGATGTGTTGTCCCTTTCACTGTTTAAGAGATCGATGCATAATTGTATAAAGAATGATTATTGCACTTTAGAACTGTGTTCGTCACAGAGATGAACATCCATATGTTTTTATATACATATGGTACCATGTTGTTGGTTAAAAGCCTGAGAAATTATTTGCAATGAATGTTAGGCAGATTATATGATGCCAAAGGGATATAGATCTGAAAATTAATGCATCAAAGACCAAGATAATTTTGTCTGAGAGAGAAAATGGAATGAGCTACTTGCAAGTTAAGTAGACATTTGAAAAAATGGGGCCAATAAATCAGTTTGTGTACTTAGTAGAGTGTTGTGTTTCCTAAACATAGGAAAATGGATGGAGAAATTTTAAGGCATGGAAATGGTGGTAGAAAAGTTATAGGGAATATGTGTCTGGTTTTTTTTAACAAACTGAATGTTTTTTTAAAAAGAAAAAAATGTTTATAAGAATATATTTCTGCCCACTTTGTAACATGGAATTGAAAATTGGGTAAGTTAGGAGGAACAAAAGTAAATTGAAATGTAGTCAAAGATGTGTGGGTGATAAAGCAAGTATTAATGGATGCTGAATGAATGTGAATAGAACACAAGAATAACTGACAAATACCGTATGTAAGAAGTTTGTTAGAGTGATTTGATCATGTAGGCCAGAGGTCCCCAACCTTTTGGGCACCAGGGACCGGTTATATGGAGAGAAATTTTTCCATGCCCCGGAGGGGGCGTGGCTTTGTGTGCTGCCTGTTTCTTGTCCTGTCCTCTGGTGCTTTGGAGAATAATTTGGCCCCTTCTTCTTTGTGGCAGCCCCTCAAATACTGGGACACTGCTATCATGTTTTCCCTATTTCTTCTTTTCTTTAGACTAGCCAAACCCAAGTCCCGCAGCCGTTCTTTGTATGTTTTAGTTCCAGGTCTTTGATCATCTTAGTTGTTTTCTGAATTTTTTCCAAACTCTCAACATCTTTTTTCTGATATGGTGATTAAAATTGGCTGCAGTATTCCAGATGTGGTCTTACTAGGGTTTTATAAAGGGTTTTATACTAATACTTCGTGTGATCTTAATTCTATTCCTCTGTTTATACAACCCAGGATTGTATTAGCTTTTTTGGCTGCTGCTCCATATTGCTGGCTCATAGTCAAGTGATCGTCCACTAGGACTCCAAGGTCCCTTCCAGCTCTATTCTATTCTACAAGAAGCAATGCTCAAGAAACAAAGGAATCTAGAGATGTCTACAATCTCTTATGACTACAAAACAACTTCAGATAACTAGGAATTTAACAGAATGTGACTATTCAAATGTAGATTTTCCCCTACTTTATAGAAAGAAAAAGTAGTATAGCTTCTCTGCCCAGCTAAGATAATGTATAGTATTTCATAAAGAACTGACTTACCTCTGTGACACAGTATCTCGATACAGGAATAGTAACCAGTTGATTTTAAGTAATTTGGATCTATCTGAGTGAATAGCACGTTGAGCTTTGAATCTGAAAATGAAGATACTTTGCCTGTAGTTTTTTCCACATTTGTTAGATATATTGTTAAATAGTACATCTTTCCTCCCTCAAAGTATGGCCAGAATAATTATACATTTTAAAGACTTTGTAAGCTGGTTTCAGTTACAGTTTCAAAATGATGATGATGATGATGATGATGATGATGATGATGACGACAACAACAACAACAACAATAATAATAATAATAATAATAATGTTGGAAGGGATCTTGGAGGTCATCTAGTCCAACCCCCTGCTCAGGCAGGAAACCCTATACCATTTCAGACAAATGGCTGAGATTAGACAAATAACTGTCTCATCTCAAAAATTCATAGACTGTCATTGTAGGATTCCCCCGGGGCTGAAAATTTCCAGTTAAAACTAAGTGAATTAATGCTTTATACTACTAAATCTCCAAATTTAGCTTTTCAATAATACATAGACCTTCAGTGAACTCAATACAATCTGCCTAAACTACAAATACCTACTTCTGCAGCAATCTTGCTTGTGCTTGGGATACTTTTTTTAATGCTGCTTAAAATCCCATAATTGTAAGAATGAGCTCTTCTGACTTAAAAACACACTCACACACTCAACTCTCTTTTGGGACTGGTTTTCAAAAGAGAACATTTGCTTGGGGGGCCTATCAATCTATTCTCTCTTTAGAAGCTTTGCTTTCTTAGCCAGGGGATAAGAATTATTCATCCACTTTAGTAGGAGGAAAGCAATCTCAATTAGCATTTCCAAGAGACTTTCACCATGAAAATTAAAAGCAAAACTGCTGGGAAAAATAAGGGCATGGTATTGTCTGGGATCCATTCTTTGTATAAATATTCCTTGAAGCAGAGAAGAATGAAGCAGCAAAGAAGTTATTTACAGGTACCGTAGTTCCAGGACAAATGGTTTTGAAGTGCATCTAAATAGGGTCCAGAAAGTCAAAGTTATTTCTTCTGCCTTTAGTGCAGAGTTTTAAAATATGCTGAAGGGAACAATTCCACTGAAACTCTTGGAGATGGGAAACATAGCTATATCTTATACTGCAGCAAAACTAACCAACAGCCTAGAATTTATTTCTCCCTTCTGAACAAGCAAGAACAAGAGTTGGCATGTTGGCTCTGCCCAGTAAACTAAGCCTGGATGGAGGCAAATAGGTTGCTGAACCACACTGCCCTTTACTGAGCCAAAGTTCCCTCCTCTGTGCATCTCACCCATTCAGTGCCATTTGTCTGTGACTCAGGTTATGCACAGGAGATAATAATTGAGAGCGTCATTTCTGACTGCATTTTTTAACCACTCACACTGGGAAGAGAGAGCTGGAGAACTTCTCCTGGCTCCAGTCTTGAAGGACAGGTCATGTATAGTGAGGCTGGGTTGACACAAAATGGCTGATTATCCCAGGGAAATGACTCAACCCTGGATGCTTCCATGGTTGTCCCAGTCACAGAGGGAAAAGCCACATTTGAAAGTCTCTTTGGGAAGCTATAGATTCCTGTCACATTGGATTGTAGAAAAAAAAAAATCTATGGTGGCCCAGTCAAGAGCAGCAGCAGCAGCAGCAGCAGAGAGAGAGAGAGTGTTGGAAAAAATTTATCTCCTTTTTCTGCTTCTTTTTCATTCTTGCCCCATATGCTCATGAGGGGCTAGGATTAAAAGTAAATCAATAAGCTAGAGGGAGTTGCTAGATCAGTCCTCTTTTGTGGGATTAGTTTAGTTTGTTTCCAAGCCAGAAGCAGAATGAAAAAACAAATCTGTAAATGTTCCTTTGCTCTTCTCAAAATATGGTTGATTTGGGAAAGAGAGCTTAACCCAAATCAACCCTGGACTGTTTTGTCTAGACCATTGATTAGTTTATGTTGACTGGATGACACCATAGCTTCATCCATGACTCAAGTAAGCATATCATTATGAACAGGATATCTGTCTACATATGGTTAGTGAAATGGAGTGCCTATAATAAGGGGATTTACCAACAATCAAATCAACAATCTTCAGATTTATCTCTGGGTTTCAGTACTGTAGCTTATTCCTAGCTTAATACTTTTATTTCTCCTTTTCTCACATTGGGAACTGTTTTGAGACTGAACACTAAAACAGCATTTATCTTAGATAACTGGATATTAACACTACCTCTCCACATCCATTATATGATAAAGTGTTTTACTTACATGTGTCTGGCTGTGGCAGCTTCAAAATCCCACATGATGATAGAACCATTTGCACTTGCAGTAGCTAACAAACTGTAACCTTCTACTTTTAACAAATCAAAGCACTTTACTTCAATCCTAGGAGGTAGCTGAAAAATACATAAAAGATTTATAATTAAATTGAGGAGCTGTTATTGAATGAAATGTATTATTATTAGTGCTGTTACAACTACCTGTTAATTACAGAACAACCCATAGCAACTGATTGTACTGGATATTTTTAAAACAAACATACCCAGACACTTAACAATTTAAGAGACTGAAATTGCCCTTCTTTACCTCTTCATCACTATTTCAAATAGAGCAAGACTCAAAAGCCAGTTCCTAGAGGGTGCGATTAGCTTGGGAATGTGGAAGGCCTTCTCTCTCTTATGTACTATAAAAGTGAGCCTTTTATATGCGACATATCTTAAACGAGAATATGCGACACATCTTAAACGAGAAGATAACAATGATGGAGATCACAGAGGCAATAAAAAGACAAAAGAAGGATAAGACTCTGGGGCCCGACAGGCTCCCTGCAGAATTCTATGTAGCTCTACAAGAAATAGTAAGTCCGATTTTGAAGGAATTGTGCAATGAAATTTTCTCAGAAACAAAAATACCAAACTCGTGGACTGAAGCCAACATCACCTTGATACCTAAAGAAGATACTGATCTCACACAAATCAAAAACTACAGACCAATATCAATGTGGATTATAAAATCTTTATTTCAATAATGGCAGAAAGAAAGAAGAAATTCTTGACTGAATTTATCCATACAGACCAAAATGGCTTTTTGCCTAAAAGACAGATAAAGAATAACCTAAGGATTATTTTAAATGTTTTGGAATACTATGAAAACCACCCAGGGAAACAGATGGCACTCATATTTCTTGATGCACAAAATGCCTTTGATAACTTAAATTGGCAATTTATGTTTCAACAGTTGACAGAAATGGACTTTGGCAAAAACTTCATAATTGCAATTCAAGCAATTTACAAAACAAACAGAAAGGATACTTCTAAATGGAGACTATATAGACGGCTTTGATATCAAAAAAGGCACAAGACAGGGATGCCCACTATCTCCCTTGTTATTTATTCTCAAATTGGAAGTGCTGGCTAGAAATATTAGGCAAGATATGGAAATCAAAGGACTGGAAATAAAAGAACAGAAATATAAATTACAGGCTTTTGCAGATGTTTTGGTTTTTATTTTGGAGGAGCCCTTGGAAACAGTTACTAAACTTCTGCAGAAAATAGAGGAATTTGTAGCCGGCCTGAAAATAAATAAGGAAAAGACTAAGGTATTAACAAAAAACCTAACAGACAAACAGAAAACCCAACTTGCAAAAAAGACAAATCTTCAAATAGCCCAAAAAGTTAAATATTTAGGTATCTACTTAACATCAAAATGTACAACATTAAAAGAAGATAATTATGAAAGACTACTGAAACAAATAAAAGTAGATTTGGAAAAGTGGAAAAATCTTCAACTGCCATTGTTAGGAAGAATAGCGACTGTAAAGATGAACATCTTACCGAAGCTACTCTTTTTATTTCAAACGGCCCCTGTCAAACTGGGCAAGAAATTTTTTGATGATTTAAATGCAACAATATTGACATTTATATGGCAAGGAAAGAAAGCACGAATTAAAACCAAATTGTTACAAGAAACCAAAGACAGAGGGGGTTTTGGACTTCCGGATTGGATACTCTATTACCAAGCAGCTATTCTGCTTTGGCTTAAAGAATGGATTACATTGAGAAATAAACAACTTCTTTACTTAGAGGGGCATGATCTGCAACTGGGTTGGCATGCGTTCTTATGGTATGAGAAAAACAAAGTTCATAAATATTTTCAAAACCACGCCATAAGGACGTATTGCTTCCAGAATGGGAGAGAATTAAACACAAAATTTACACAAAAATACCTGAGTGGCTTTCAACAATGGAAGCGTTTGCTTACCCAAATTTAATTAACTATGACAAACTTGTTACTTATAAAGACATTTTGGATAAGGATGGAAAACTTAAAAACAGGCAAGTTCTTCAACAACAAGGTATTGACTTAACATGGTGGTCAATCAACAAAAGTGCCATACTGTTAAACTAGACTTGCTAGAGTAGTTGTTCATTTCCTAAGAATGTTCGAGATTCAATACAATTGGAATGCATTTTTAAATCTTAGATTAATTATACAAAAGCTTGTAGCACATAATACAAGAAGTAATCACACATTCACCCAGAGATGGAGAAAACATGTAGTAGACTGACAATTCTAACCACTTTTATCTATATTATATCCATCTATAGCAGGATAGAGTTCCCCAATCAGTGCTTTGGAATGTTGGGATTGAAATTCCTAGAATACTGAACCATCTTGATTTTGCAATGCCAAAGTATGTGATGGACATAGATTGGGAAAGAATACCTGACTAGAACAGATAGACAATCAAAGGCAAACAACACATAGAGAAAGGCAATCAAGAGCTTCACAATTCCTTCCAACAATTTTTGTCCATATCCAGATGAGCTTATAGAAAGCAAAAATTAACTTTTTGACTGCTTACTTTTGCTGTGGACCTCAAATACAAATAACTTTCTTAGAATTATTTTCTCTTTCTTCATGTTTTCTAAAACATATCTGGAAATACAATTGTTCCTCACCTCAGCATTTGAGTTTGTGAGATCTGTATCAAGCAATAGTTCAATGTCTGGAAAAAAACCATTATTTTTTTTGACATTGGGAGACAGTTTAAGGAAAATGAGTGGATAGCCTTGTAAAGCAAATGACACAGCTTCAGGAAGTTCCCAAGTTATGGACATGTAATTTTCACCTTGATTAGCCTAGGAGAACAAAGAATTGAAGAAGATTAACCGATAATCAACCTGGCAAAATTTCTAGCTTTGTATGTTACTTTGCATATTGTATACACCAAACATATTTATGTTAGAACATTTGTCCAATATTAGCAGTTAAGGCTATGAACAATTTTACCTCTGGTTGACATCCAGATCTGGACATTTCATACAGATTTACCTTTGGAAAGATGGACTCACTTCAAAATAATCATTTATGTAGAATACTTTGATAGTTTTAAAACTGAGATAGAGGGCTGCACAACACATTGCTATCATTCACAAAGGCTTCTAGTTTCTGGTCAGCACAAATAGTCATCAGCAAGCAGTATGTCAAAAACTGAATGCAGCATTGGTTAGAAATGTAAGGGGATGCAATCCAAGAGGCAGTTCTGAGCTCAACAAGCTTTTGAGGCTTAATTAATTAAATCAACTCTAACATAATGTCTTCAAGACAAATGACTGAAGTTAGCATCTGGTGAAAAACATGTTTCTAGAGTCTCTTCTAAAAAGCTTAAATCAGATGATTAAAAAGATAATTTTCAATAAAAATATTGATCGTAATGCTTAAGAAACATTTTGCATTCTTATTTAATATGTAGCCACATGGGGATTAAATACATTTAACATGCCCTTATTAAATAAATCATTAGAGACTGAAAATAGTTGAGCATTTTCTTGATACATTATTTCAGAGGCTCCAACATGGTATATCTGCACCAAGAAAGTGGAAGGTTTATTTTTCTCCTGAGGTTTCAGCAATTTAAGACTGAATTGTTGTAGTTTAAAAGGGAGCTGTCAGACCTGCCTCAGCTTAAGCCTTAAGAATGATCCTTAATTCCATTTGCTGAGAAAAGTATAGTTTCCTAGAGGTCAAGTGCAATACAATAGTGCAAAGCCAGAACTGAAATTTGCATGCCAAAATCCCCAAGTCTAACCTCCCTTACCTTAGGTATCTCCCCATGCTGCCCCCCCAATGCCCAAATTCAAATTCAAAGATGTTTTCAGAAGGGTTGCTTCAAATGTGGGTTGGTATGCAGCTGTATTCTGTTCTCAGCCGGTCTACCTTGAAACCGTGTTTCAGGGAGCTAGTGTGAACTTTTCATTTTCCTGGAATCCTCCCCCCTCCCATCCAGGCCCCCTAGAGTTCATGGCAGCCTGGCACTGAGCAATAGCAAAAGGCAAGCGTGAAGTGGCATCTGATAGAAGCTTAAAGATTTTTTTTTTTAACCCAGGCCATTTAGAAGCCAGTTTAGAGGTTTTGTGCTAGCATTTAATGACTTATTAGCTTAGAACGTATTGTATATGATTATTTATAAGTTGATGAGGATAGTTGGCATCTATATAGTTTTAAAGGAACATATACATAAGTATAGGAGTTCTTGGTTAACTGTGGTAATTAGGACCAAGACCTTGTTGCTACCCCACACACCCACATCATGGTCTGTTTCTGTTGCTCCCCTCTGGGAGGAGGTTTCAAAGTATTTCTAGCAGTGGCTGTCATTTGCAACCTCTTATCGGCTTCCCTATTGACTTTGCCTGTTTGAAGTCGACAGAGAAGGTCACAAATGGTGATTGTGTTATTCTAGGATGCTGCAATTTTCATAATTGTCCACAAGCTGCCAAATGCCTAAATCATGATCACATGAACATGAATCATATAAGGCTCCTTGTTCAGTGCTACTGGTCGCTGAGTGAATGATCATTTACCAAGGATTACCTGTAAAAGAAATCAGAAAAATCTTGATGGGATTAAGAGGATTAGAACTAGAAGTCATAAACAGGATATAATCAATAAAGATAAACAGAATAAATATGTAAAATATGTATGGAAATTTAATGATACTCTAATTGCTTGAAAGGGGACTTAATCTTTGATATATTAAAGCAATATATCTAAGGTAATTCTGCACAAATGTTTTTGGAATATCAAGATGTAAATACTTGAGAGGAAGTATTTCACAATGCTGGTAGCTGAGCCCTACAGAGATTCTCTCACTTGGGACTTTCTTGCTATGTTGGGATTACAACTAGCATAATAGCAAACCTGGGTGTAGGGAGTTGAAGTCCTAACAAATGTGGAAAGCCATAGTTAAGAGAGACTGGGTTCCCTGACTTTTGAAATTGAGAACAGTGAAGCAAATGAAATAGAAAATGTAACAATCAAAACTCAAACCTGAACAATTTTGATCCTCCCACTGTATTCCAAGACTAGGATCACATGCTTACTCTCACTGGCTTTCAGGTACACCATCTGCATCAGCCAATGTTCATTGACCGTGATTTCCTTGTCTAAGGGCAAAATTTTAAGTACCTGCCCACTTCCAAAATCCCATACTTTCACAGTTCCTATATGTGTAATAAAGCAGAAAGAATATCACTCTTCATAGAAGTAACTAATAGCTGTATGCTACTGACTACAAAGTTTGCACTTTCCTATATGAAATACATGTAGAACAATACTGATTATGTGAAAAGTCTATTCTCCAATGTTTTATTAAGGGTTATTTGCCATTACTGTACATGGTGCATAGACAATGTTATAAGACCAAAAGAATTCTCAGCTGATCTTTATTATAAAACTATGGAGTACAGAAAGCACAATTTATTTAACTAGCTTTGTGGCTCTTTGAAAAATACAGCAAATTATCTTAAAATTTCATTACTTTACCATCACATGCTCCAGTAGCAAGATGAAATCCATTTTTATCAACCGCTGCACATGTCAACTCAACTCCTGGCCCATGGGCATCTTCAATCTGGTATATTAGCTGTCCTGTTTCCAATTCCCAGACCTAAAAATAACAGATTATATGCAATTCAGTAAACTACCTACAAGGGGTTCCAAAAATAACCCAAACAGGTATTACTTTTTTAAAATGTATATATTAAATATTAAGATAGAAGAATGATAAGAATTGATTGAGTTTGAGAAAGGAATACTGAAAGTACAGTATTCCAATTTCTCCTTGATTTAATAGAAAAAAATCAGTAATTCATTTGAGCTGGAAGTTCAGCTGTTTTCCCCAAATGAAAGAAATGAAGTAATTTATTCATCCCACCTCATCCATCTCTGGGAAAGACAAGTTCCAAAATAGCTTTTAAAATTGCATGTGAGTGTGATAAGAATACCCTAGTTAATGTATTTGTCCAAACAGAAAAAAAAATTCTTTTGTTTTACAACCTTAAGGCTCATAAGATTTATACTCACCTTTACAATAGACTCAGAACAGATACTAAGAACTTGGTGAAAAACTTTGTTGTAAACCAGCACATTGATGCTCCTTTCATGGGTCTGGGGGACTTGCTTAGTATCTTGTATCATCCGAGTGAGAGGATAAATATCGATGACGGACGATCCTGGGTATTACAGAATTGCATTAAATCTAGAAAATACTTAAGTTTCCATTTCAACTTTTGGATGAAAGACTGACTTCAAGGAAGCACATTGCATATGCTTGCTACTGTATGTAGCCTGAAGATATTATATGTCTGATCAAATTAAATTATCAATAGTTTTTTGTGCATTGTAGTATTGCATTTACTCTTCCAAAAACTTGTTTCATGCACATGTTCAAAAATCTAACCCTTAAAATTTATACAAGAGAAAATTAGAGATGATTTTTTATTTGTCTATAGCAAGGATAGGGAATATTTGACAGGCTGGAGGCCATAGTTCTACTTCCTTTTTTTCTATTTTACAAATCAAAAAAACAAAGCCTTTAGTGCTAAAAAGGGAAATCTTGTGGCATGCAAACTGCAGAGAAAATATCTCATGTTCAGCTAATGCAACAGAATGTGACGACGATACAGTAGTTGAATCTCTGTGGATTTCTGAAAGGTCTCAGATTAGCAGGAAGGTAAATGGTGCGGGAGAAATCTTTTTATGAGAATGGGATGACATTGTCAGGTTTCACACCAGATTGGGCAATAAATCTCTGCAGAGCTCAGCCTTGCATGCAGATATTTCAGGATACAAAAAGTGGAAATTCTGTCTCTGCATGCAAGTTTAGGCATAGAGAATCATAGCTTGGGATACAAGCACTGTTGGCTACATTCATGAGTCATTGACCTAGCTGAGCTGGTCATCCAGGAAATGATGTTTTTCTGTTATGTGGACTGCCAGATAAAGAGAGAATGTAGGATACACCATTACCACATCTGCAAAGTAAAGGCACAATAGTCTTCATGTTGCCTTGCTTGTTTATGTACTAGATGTCCACAGGAATGTCTACAGCATGTATACTTCAATGTTTTGGAGCCAGACTAAAATACCTCTTATGAATTCCCTACTCAGAATAGGTATGTTTATACATTCAATGTCCCCTTTACATGTTTTTTTCTCATTTCAAATTCTCCTATGTTGCTTTCTTCATAGCAAAGTCACCCAGGCTTCTGTTAAATATCTTGATAACTCTTTAATGCCTCATGTCCAATAATACAATTGAAGCATGATGACTCAAACTGTGCACAATAGTCTATGCTTACTTATGTAATAGATTTCTAAAAAGTGTTATTACTTTATGACTTCCATCATGCAAATTAGTTTTTCTACCATTATTTCCTTGAACAATACTGCTTTGAAGGGCTTACAAATGTTTTGAAGAATATTTGGGGAGGGGGAAGAGTTAGTTCTCAAGACTGCAGAACAGATGGAGAAACTGATCTTTAGCTTAAAATATTATCTTCCATTATCAGAAAGGTATTGTTGGTTCTGATCCAGCATATCGGCATGCCTGTTTATAATCAATAGCCATATATTTTTCTCATACCTACCTGCAATAAGTATTCCATGGTTATTATCAAATGCCATAGCAAAAATTTGTGACTCTCTGTTTGCTCCTTGAACATCATGGAACACTTGCATCAATGAAAGAGTCTGGATATCCCACACTCTGAAAATCTGAAGAAATGACAAGAAATATGTGCGGTAATTAAGTGCCACAACAAAATGATTAAAATATGTTGTATTTCCTTGTACTTCCCTGATACAATATACAAAACAGAATAAAAGAATGGGATATGCATATTAATGTTCTTCCTATTGTTTGCTTTATTTATTATATTTATATTCTGCTATTCTATTACACACATTAGAACATACCTTATTTTCTTCTCACGATTCTGTGAAAATGATCAGCCCAAATTCAATTAATTTTCATCACCAAACTCGATGTCCAGAGTATAAGTTGAGCATTAACCATAGGCATATTGACTCCTTTTGTATTAGAGAAGGATCCAAGCCCCCTGCCATTAAGGCACTGCAGACAGAACAGCATCAGACACAACTTGACAAGACACATGGATCAGGGATTTTTTTTGTACTGATCTGAGACTACAATAAAGATTGACTGATCAGGATCACCATTCTCCACTTGTACGGAAGAGAGCAGAGCTATGGATTAGTAAAAGTGGAGACCTAAAATGTTGTGAGAAGCTAATCATTAACAACTAGTTAACAAGGTCACTGAGAGGAATAGAAAAATTAGTCTGTTTCCAATCATTGTAAACTGAATCCCTGGGAGAGAGGAGAAATCCTGCTCAATATTTTTATTTTCCTGTTGGCTAATGGCTGTGTAAGCTCAGTAACACTGAGAAGGGATATTCAGAGAAAGGTGAAAGCAACAAACCCAACATAGATTACTATTTTTGTACAACTAAAATTCAGATTGCTAGTTTTGTTTTGATAGCAGCAAACTGGTGATCCACACTCAGGTAGACATTACAATATTCCAGTCTGAAAGTATCTAGCCTATATATGGCAAAAGGCAGGTCTCCTTTTTCCAGATGGGGTTGTGATTGCCAAAGCTTCCTAAGAATATAAATAATGCCTTTCTGATTTAATGGTACCTTGGACTGACTAAAAACCAATGTTATTTTGCACTTTTTTCATATATGTGAAAATGTAAATCAGAAAAAGACTACCTGGGTGTAATCAGATTGATTCCTAAGAAAATGAATTCCTTTTATTCAGAAGCAGTAACTGTCTTAGAAGTTTAATATCTCATTATACTTGAATTTTGGCACAATTTGACAAGGAGACAGTACAGCAGACAAAACAAAGTTCCATAATGATGACTAATTGTGACAAGAAGTTACTGTATCATCACTGAACTTGCCAAATATCCATACCTGGTCTTCAGTCTAAAACCCAGGCTGATCACTGTATTCATGAAGTGTAATAAACACTTCTCATAGGGCACTGTGTAAGCCAGCAGCAAATTAATAGGTAATAGAAGACATAAAGATATTTCCATCCCCTGAGTAACTGTGATTATATTTTGATAGGACTGTAGTTCTTAAAATGTTTTATGATATTTACAGCTATGCTTTAATACTTTATATCCTTGTGAAATGTCTGGCTTAAAAACACTTTTATTTGAAAAGGCTGTCTAAAGATCATATGCAATTTATTAAATTGCTAATGTTCTGGGGGCTCTTTGATAAAGAGTTAATCTGTTTATATTCTGAGCTTATACTGGGAGCCAGACGGCTGCCTATTACTGGTGTAGCTTCTTAGTATTAGCACATCTGCCACAACCTACCTGTTTATGGCACTTTTTCCCCAGAACTAGAAAGCAGGGTTGAGATAATGAAATTCATATTGGAATCTAATATGGAAAACATTTTGCATGCCATTGATTTTAGTCTGGTCAGCCCTACAAAGCTCAGCTCTGATTATGTGAGGGACTACCTTCTTACATATTTTTCTGCACATCAAACCAGATTGAGTAGAGTCAGCTCTAGTCAGATCACGAAAGTAGCATTTAAAAATGAACAAACAGGCACCCCACCACGCAGCAACAAAAATCATAACCCTTCACAAGAAATCGGACCACGTCTCAATAACTACAGCCAGCCAAAACAAACAATCTGAAACCAGACCATGACTCAGAAGCATCTGAGCAAACAACACCAATGCTAATTTGCTTCACACAGATGGTACTTAACACCAAAGACTATGGCCCAGCAACAACAACCAGCCAATCAAACAGTCTGAAATCAGACTATGACTCAGAAATATCTGAACAAATAACATTCATGCCAATTTGCATCACATAAAAAGGTATTTAAGGGCCAGCGTTCTGACAGACGAACCCAATTCAAAGTGCACCGACGGTGTCTCCTTGAATTGTGATGCAACATTTGCAACCAAACTGCCAAGCTCGGAGCCCATACCAACAGCCCAACTACCAACCCAAGCTACTAACATTCAAACACATTTCAGAGTCAGCTTTTTCCAGATCTGCCATCTGACAGGACCTTGGAAGGAGTTGACCACACTTTGAAACTCTCTTTCTACAAAGATTCAGTTAACTATGTCCTCCTGGGCTTTGGGAAAGCTTTTGACCCACTTATTCCATCTGGCATAGGAAGAGGGTGCTTTAACTGACAGCGGGGTAGCAAGGAGGCAGTCTAGAGCAGAGGTAGGCAACCTCGGCTCTTTTATGACTCATGGACTTCAACTCCCAGAATTCCTGAGTCAGCACAGCTGACTCAGGAATTCTGGGAGTTGAAGTCCATGAGTCATAAAAGAGCCGAGGTTGCCTACCCCTGGTCTAGAGCCTTCTGGGATTGAACAGCACACAAATTAGGAGAGGAGAGAATTATTTTCTGAACATCTCAATGCCTTCTATCAGTTAAGATAGGGAAAGAAAGATGTCTGTTTTCCTATTTAGAAATAATAATTTAACTTTATCTCATGGAATAAAACACAACAGAACATTTGGAAACTTGAAGCTTGGTTTCAGAGTACACATGACTTAAAAACTTTCTTTTATGCATTATACTTTATACCCAGAATGAGTATTTGCATGAAATAGATTAAGCAATTTGAATCAACTTAAACAATGTTAAATCAAAGTTAGTAACTTATTGCTTTTTAAATCACTTTAAGCTATATTTCTGTAAATTGAAACAAAGCAAAACAAGACTATAATATTCTTCGTTTTTCTAAATGGAAAGCTGCCCTCCTTTTAAATTAAGGCCTTAAGGCCCAGCATTCAATATCACCTGTAAACACAAACTGTGGTTAGTGAGTTAACAGTAGGGTCTACATTAGCCTTCAATGGAATTCTCTCTGAAGTATAATGTATATTATTTTGAATTTTGACTCAGTTCTTTTGAAATTAAGGAGAGGAGGGCTTTGGGGCAGCATTTGGCACACTATTATAGACAGCAGGAATAGCACCTAGCCAATCTTGGCTTATCTTGAAACAGTTAAGCATAGCCTGATTTGAAGACTTTTATTTTCTATTATTGAATGACAGACTGATTCCAAAGGCCTTACTATTTCATAAAGTAGCATTTTGTTCTGCAGCATGTTACAGTATATTTACATAGACAAACATTTGACAAAGGCAATTGTTCTACCTTCTACTTGGCTTTCTGTCCTCACTTTGGGATAAAGATTTCAAGTGTCAGTTTTCAAATATGAATAATTTTAACCAAGGTTGCTGTGAGCACTGCTGGGAAATGAACAGTGCCAGATGCACAGTGCCAGACTCTCTTTCTAACTGCACCTATGCATGATTGTGTGAATTCAGATACAAGGATAGTTGGGAGGTTCAAGTAGATTTGTATGGAACATTTGGAGGTGACTATAGTAAACTGCCCTATGGAACCTCTGCAGTATTCACAGCAACAGAAGTCACTCTTTGAGTTCTGAAAAAAACAGAATTTGCCCTGGGGCCCTATCAGAATCTGCAAAGAGAATCCACTATACATGCTGCCGTAGGTGAGCGCATCGGAGTTAAATGCAGTGCGTGGGATATAAGGCAAAAGAGCTTTTTACTTATAAAAGCCACACTCAAAGAAGTATCATAAAATACATTAGTATATAGCTAAGTCTTTATCATTTTATGTGAGGTTATAAACAACGAGTGAGTTTGGTACAGTGGTTAAGGCACCAGGCTAGAAACCAGAACTCCATGAGTTCTAGTCCTGCCTTAGATACAAAGTCAGCTGGGTTATCTTGGGCCAGTCACTCTCTCTCAGTCCTAGGAAGTAGGCAATGGTAAACCACTTCTGAAAAAAGCCTTGCCAAGAAAACTGCAGGGACTTATCCAGACAGTCTCTGAGACTTGGACATGATTGAATGGAAGAAAAAGTACTGCCTATTTCTGTCAAATTATCTAGATTTATTTATTTATAACTGAATCATTTTAAGTCTTTTGACATAGCAATCCCTTTGCATATTAACTTAGACGTAAGTGCCAATGTCTATAAGATTTTTCTTAGGCAGCGGAGGTATTCAAAACAAAGCATGAGTTCCTGGCTCACGGGAACTAGTGAGATGTGGAAAAAGAAAATCACATTATTGTTTAAGTCCTACAACTATGTGGTTTTGCTAAGGGCAAAAAAACGTTCATTATTTGCTCCGATAATTTCTGAAATCATTATACCAAATGTTCTCAATAAAATATAGTCCAAATTGCCACTAAAGCAGGAAGAGGCAATGTAAGACCCTACAGATATAGCTTAATTACCACTCCAAGCTTCCCTGATAATTGGTTATTCTGACTTGATGCTGGGAATTACTGTACAAAAATACATAGAGTGCCTGTGCTAAAAATGAAGAGGTTGAATCTAAACATACTTAAATTGGCAGCCATTGATATCTTATAAGCTTGAATATGGAGTGTAAAACAAGTATAGCAAATGTATTTTTTCCCCAAAAAGAACACTGAAATGAAAATAACTTAGGATAGCAACTATTTAAAAATAGAAATAGAAATAGAATTTTTAACCTTATGCATATTTTAATCATAATTTCCATAGTTTGTGCATTTGCTCAGCCTTGTAACCAAAGGTCTTTTTAGAGTTAACCTTTTTTAAATTATTCAAGATTTCCCCTTGCCAAATGCAATAAATTAATAAATGCAAGGACTCCTGATTTCAACCCTGAGCTACAAATATTCTCCTTTATTGGAGGAAGGATTATTAGGTTTGTTCATGATCTTGAGTTATTTCAAAAAATAATAAAGATGCAATTAAAAAATCTAAAAATCATGTTTTAGATATCTTAGAAAACTTTGTTATGCCTGTTAAACATTTTGATAAAAGATTAGAGGATTTTTTCTTAGATTTGAGACATTTGTAGCATCCTCTTAATATTGTCAGCATCTTGTCTTTTAGTTTAAAAGTATGACCCATAGAAATAAATGATGCTGTACAAATACATAATATGTACTTTGATGAACAGGAAAATGGAATTATACTGCATCTATTTCAGATCTGGAACCTATAAACAGAAAATAGTATTTTATAATTCATAACAGAAAAAAGTCACTTTTGGCAGAGAATATAGTTTTCACTAAGTCAAAGGTAATACCATACCTTTGCAGTAGAAAGACTGATAATGTGTTGATCCTTTTCATTGGTGACAATCTCTGTGATACTAAATAAATGTCCCATCAATTTCCCCACTGGCTTGGTGTTGATGTTTGGATGCCATAAACGAAGAATCTTATCTTCTCCTGGAATTAAATGGTAAATGGAAAATCATTTATTTTCTTGTTTTATTTATAGAAAGCAGTATTTCCCAGCTTGCTGCCCTCCAGATGTGGAAGGCTTCATTCCTAAATTCCCAATCCACATGTCTGAAGACCAATAAATATGAAAACATCAGACTAGACCAGCCAGAAAGATCTAGAAGTAGAATTAGGCCAGCCAGGAAAAAAATACAATGTTTGAATAATTCCTGAATAATATATATATTGATTTGTTCATAAGACTGACCAAGCCAACAATGAAATGAGTATTTGTTTATTCTGTCTATATACTGTATTGAACCAATATGTAACTATTTTCAGATGTAATTAGAAAGTCAGAAAAGCTTTTCAATTGCAGTGATCAGTTTGAGTTACCCATCTTTGTGTGATGTACAGTATACAGTTGCTATAACAGAGCGTTCTAAAATAAGGACACTCTGGTGAGTTGTTTTACACAATACATTGCACCCCCAAAAAATGTTTTGTGTTTCTGTTCCTCAAACTTGAAGGGTTGGTTAGCTTGGGGTGTTTTTTTCCCTCTCAAGTTCTAGAAAAATATTTTTAATCTACCATAGCAATTTGTAACCCACCTTGATGATGTTCTGGAAATCTTTAAACATTTAGCTCTTCTCCCAGGCCTGTACTGATTTTGATTCTCTTACAAATAGGAAGAACTAACTGTACTAAGTGAATATTTTGCAGAAGCAAGAAGCATTCAAGATAATTACAAAGGCTTTTAGATGAATGCGGTTTACTTACCTCCTGTAACAATGATATTGGCTTTTACACAATATGTGAAAGCATTAACTCCCCTCAGTACCGAAAATTCCCTGACAGGCCTGTAATTGTAACAAGACATTTGATCATGCAAACACCTAAGAATAAGTGTTTTTTTCCTAAATCTGTAGTTATATGATGGCAGTCCTAGGAAACTGATTTCAGAATCTAAGTCTATAGAAGACTTTGTGCTAGGACTCAAATTTCTATCATCGATGCAACTGACAAAATCACTTGCATGATTTTTCAAATGAAAAGTCACTGAAAATAACAGTTTTCAATATTACCAGATAATGTAAGCAACGTTATAGTGAGTAGAAAGGAAGTAATCCATGGATGTTTTTATTTTTTAAAACATATTTCAGGAAGCAGATCAGAACCAACTGTAAACACTACTTTGTTCAGTTATATGAACAATCTCTTTGCTGGGTTTTGGATAATTAAAATGTATATTTTCAATAGTCACACAGTTTAAGCTGGATGCCATATAAAAACACAAACAAACTTACAAATTGTCTTCAAGTCTTTTCAGGTCATCCAAAACCAATGAATGAATGCTATCCAATGAACAGGATCCAAAACAGTTCAAAGCTGGAATGTATTTTACTTTTATAACCCAGTCATCATGCAGTTTACGTTTAATGCTAGAGGTGATAAGACAAAACATTAATTTAAAAGGCACATCTGTCTTCAACAATGAAGGGACACAGGGCAGAAAACATCCTGCAGCCAAGAAGGCCCCCCACACACATTTGCACTACTCAGGTGACCCTGAGGACACAGGTAAACCTCCAAATGGCCTCAAGGACTCTCTAAAGGAATGCAAATGACCATCTGTCTGCAAGGAATATAAATCCTTCCATTCCCCACCATCCAGTCAGAGCTGAAGAAGCTTCCTGGATGAGAAGTGAAATGTTTTCAAAGAAAATCAAGAAAGTCCAGTTGCCTCCTGAAAAAACACCTTTGGGACATTGCCTCAATGTCATAAATGCAACATTCTTAATTTCCAGTTGTTTGAGATAAATAATAAAAATGATAGCGTCTTCATGTCTGTCTTCTGATCTTCCCAGATGTGCTGAACGTTTGGTCTGATCTAGAATGACTCTTATATTCTACACTTTATTTATTTTAGGGGGGAAAAACCCTCACATCAATTACCAGTGTTGGAATACTTAACTGTGATGGCTAAAGGTACCATAATATCAATTTTAGGTTATGATGTTGAATCCTTACAGGAAAAAACAAGAAAACTGAAAACCACAAGGAAGAAGAATAGAATATTCTTAGAAATAGCATTGCTGGCTAGTTGAAACCCTCACTATAAGCCCTTTAAAATTTAATATTTGAAGTAGAAAATACATCCTGAAAATTCCAACTGATTTCTCCATACAGCAGGTATTAGACATAATTGCTTTCTTTCACAACATCCTTTTAAAAATTATAATTTTGAAATTAAAAATTTCAAAAACGAGATTCAGCGATTATGGACTTACCTCTTGAATTTCTTAGAATCTATTATCAGCATGTGCAGTTTCTTTTTAGATTTAGTCTGTTTTAGACCAAAGTCGTCACTGGTAAGTGTGAACAAAGTAACATATCCACCATCATCCCCCAGCAAGATGTCATCCTTCACTAGAAGTTCTGATGGGTGAGGAATGGCAGAAACAGAGAGGAGGCAATGTTCCATAGGTTTTATTATACAGCAGTTATCCTAGAAAAATAAGCAATTGTTCATTATATGTTTTTGCGTTTATCTTATTAGTTCACTGAAAACTGTAATTGGTTTCAGAACTTTGCTTAAAGACTTAGAAGAAATTTGATACAATGCTCTTGGCTCAGTTTCAATCCTTAAATTATATTTACTTTGTTCCATAATGATATCTTCATCAATGTTCATTATTTTTTTTTCTATGAACTGTGAACATTGTACAGTTCTCTAAAGGGAGCTCTTATACCTGAAAATGCTTACAAATTTGGGGAGAAAGAACAGTTAATATAGAACTGATATAAATTTCAAAAATACACTTGGAATGTACAAGTTTATTTAATAAAGCTGCAAGTTTAACAGAAATATATGACTTGCTAATCCTGCCTGTGATAGCTGGACAATATTTTCTTCTGGCTTTTCCCCTATGGATTAAAAAAAACTATTTGCTCTTTTGCCTTTAAAAATAGTTTACACATTTTCCTCTAACTATAGAGCTTTACTGCTATTTCTGTGCAACTTTTAGTAGTCCATCTTTGTTGAGAAATAGGTTATGTAGACTTTTATAAAGAAAAGATAAATACTAGTGAATGTTGTGTAATAGTAATGTTTGTCCTGATTCTAATGGGAAGAGAATGCTCCAATCTATTTCTAGCAAAATTTTCTAATAAAATTATTTTAAATCTATAATGGTAAACTCTACTCTGTATATTAAGACTACTCCAATATACTCTATAGATCAATAATGGGACTTGATAAGCAGTAGGTTCCTGTAAATTGTATCCACTAATTCCTTCGATAAAACATTTTCTTTCTTTTATTAATGAATTTTCTCACCTAATTTTTCATTATAAGTAACAGCCCTAGAAATTGTACTGTGGTTTCAATTGACAACTGGAAAATAATAATTAAAACAGTACTTGGACTGAAAAGGTAACGACTAAGTCATTTAAAAAAATGTAAGATTTAAAAGCAGCTACTTTAAAAAGATAAGCCTGGTGTAAAATAATCAGTATAGTTTGTTTCAGTCAAGCGCATGGTAAATGTATTTTGAACCAATTATAGTTTTTGAGCTATAGCAGCACATATGGGGTACACCATAATAGTCTGAAGGTGAGTGGGATATGAGGCCATTTCTAGTATGAGCTGATAAGGCAGACAATGCAATAAATTCTTTAGGTCCAAAAGAATATCCTAGTGTCCAAGCTTAAGTTTGTTCAGGAATGTGTATAACACAAGTGCCATAAACAACAAACAACTATTTAGAGCAGTAATAGTAACATGCATAATATGATCACATCACAACATTACTGAATCTACACAAAGGAGGTTTTAAAGGATGGCAGATCATATCTTGGCTCAGAAGCTAAACGAGGTTAGACTTGATTGGTATTTAAATTGAAGATCTCCAGGGAATCCCAGGTTTATAGGTAAGAGTGAGAAATAAAAAAAAACTCCAGAAGAAAATGGATAGTCATTGCTATATTGCTACCAAGCAGTACTTGGAGTTTAGTTTGACTTGAAGGCAATTTTATTGTTACACATAATGGGAAATGGGGAAAATCTCAACTCTGGGAACCATTTTCAATATCAAAACTGTCCTGTATGCAATATATATAATTCCCCCTTATAATGAATTACGGTACTCTATGCATGCCAAAGGGTTACAATATCAATCTCTATCATTTCTTTTTCAGCTTGAAAGTTGACAGGCACACCATACAATGATACCTTTGAATGAATTTTCATTTGCATGTGTTGATTTCTTATTACTAAATGATCTAGCAGTTGCTGAAAACATATGTCCTTATGTTTACTACATACCCATCCCTAAGTGTCATACCAGGGCACTCCCTTGTGTTTTATAATCCCATATGACGATAGTTCTTTCTGTCACGCCAACAACACGCTTCAGTTGACCAAGATAGTCACATCCGGTGATCCATGAACTGTCCTGATGAAAAAGAAATATTGGCAAAATCAGTCTCTCTGATTACTGAGCTTCCCCGGCAACAGCCTTACTTATAACTGATGTTCAAAGGACTTTCAAATTTAATTTATATATAAGAAGAAAGAATTGGCTGCCACAAAGAAGAGGGAGTCAGGCTATTCTCCAAAGCGCCTGAAGGCAGGACAAGAAGCAACTGGTGGAAACTAACCAAAGAGAGAAGCAACCTAGAACTAAGGAGAAACTTCCTGACAGTTAGAACAATTAACCAGTGGAACAACCTGCCTCCAGAAGTGGTGAATGCGCCAACACTGGAAGTTTTTAAGAAGAAACTGGACAGCCATTTGTCCGAATGGTATAGGGTTTCCTGCCTGAGCAGGAGTTGGACTAGATGACCTCCGAGGTCCCTTCCAACTTTATCATTATTATTATTATAAATGGTCCCATTCTGATGTCAAGCAGACCTGGAAATGTAGTAAAATAAATAAATCCCTATTGATTATTGTTTATTATTTCTAGAACCATTTTAAATGTTTATTTGAAAACTTCAATAAGATAGGAATATGGTAAGCAGGGTGTGAACCAAAGCTTTCTATTGTAGGAACATGTTATCCCATTTTGTTTCCAAACACCATCTGAAGTCCTTATTTTGTTAATATTTTAAATCAGCTTTCATCAAGATGTCCATATATCTCCAATCTTTTTGAAACAGTGGATATATTTTGCATCTTTAGAACTTGTTATGGGCACTCTCACAAAATGGCTGCCATGAAAAGTGTAACCCAAAATAGCCTTATACTCAATGGCAAACAAAGGACTGGTTGTACTCGCCCAGTATGTTTTTCCTCAGAATACTGTGAGTTATTATGCTTCAGACAGATATTTGTTTTGAGCATGCTTGCTTATGATACTTTTGAAAGTTAAAATAACCTAATAAAACAAGATCAGCCTGGCAACTTGATGGGTACCAAATGATGTATTGGTGGGGTACTGTTATCCTTGAGGACTAGGTTGGGATTAAATCTTGTAATCCTTCGGGTAAATTTTAAATTGGACAAGTTTGGAAGTGATATAAAATATCACAAATAGTCACAAATCAGAAAAATGAGATATGTTCAGTTTGATTTTTATGACTTCCATCATTTTTTCTGGAAGGTAACTGGATTTTAGAATGGATAATTTAAAGATAGTATATGCAGTAACTTATATGAAAAGGACATATCTGGAAAGATAAATTTATATAGGAAATTGAAAAAGTTTTATTACCCTCATACATTTTAATGAATTAAATGGCTTCATTAGCTGAACCAAATGTGAGAGAAATGCACACTTACTGGGATGCTGGTGCTTGCTAGTATTCGCATCTGGAAAACAAGACACAGTCAGAAAAATGTAGAAAGGAGACAATACCCGCAAAGGAGCAGTATGTAACAAAGGATTAACAACTTTTTCTCTGTTGCAAAATATCATCAAAAGATGAAAAATAACCAGGAAGAGAATCATTTGGAATCCCAGTTTCAGAATGTCTTCAGACAGGTATTTTGACAGGCAATGTTGAGGTTTTGTTTTGGAGGAGTTTTAGGGGCGTATCCTCTAATTTTCCTAATGTTTTGAACACTTACTATTAATTTCTAGGGAAGCTGACATTTTTAAACTTTAAGAACTTTTATTAGTACTATGATTGTGAAACTTTTATACTCATGACTGACTCTTTATTTTTATGGCTATTGCTTCTATAAATTTGTGCCAGAATAATATATCAAAGCAAATAATTATCAGGTTCTGAAAATCTGAAATCACATTTCTTTCATATGAAGTTCAATCTGACTCAAACATAAGGACAGGACAGTGCCTTTGACAATTCTTTAAGTGTCTGTCCACATTAGACAGGATTTTAATTCAGTAAAGAAAAAAATATTTCAAAATCACCTGGCCAGAAAAAATAGACAACATTCCCCTCTGAGATGCTGTTAGCAAAAAATCAAGTTGAGATATCTTTACCATGCATCTTATTACATCACTTCTCTTGACTCCTACAAGAAAGATAAACAAAAGATAATTTAAACTAGGAATTAGTCAATATGTATAAAAGCAGAGAGTTAATTAACCTGTAAGATATTTAGTTAACTGATCTAGAAGCAATGACCCATATTTTGATTACATTCAGGTAAAAATGAATGAATGAATGAAGCATGCACCTGTATGTGCCTCCTAGCTAGTGGAATGTGGTAAAAATATATCCCCTTAAAAATAATATCTAGAGAAGAGATCCTAACGTGAACAGGATAACATCTCCTGCTTGAGATACAACTAACTCTGTTCCACATGTGCCATACTACCAAAAATGTCCCCAAAATTATCAATATTGCATCCTTACTATTACCAGAGGATGCTGCACATTACGCAGACATGTTTACATAGTAAACCTAATCTATACTTTATATTATTAAAAAGCATGAGATGACAACCTTCACTGACTAAACCATGATGTCTGGCTGTGAGCTCATCAGGTATTGACCATGTCACATAGAAACTGCAGTTTGGAATGGGAGAGGAATAAATTGTGAGAAGCAGCAATAAAGCGGTATCTACTGTACCTTCGAAAGCATGAATTTGTATTAAACACAGCCTGTGAGCTAAAATGAAGAGGCAGGCCACGGATCACCAAGTCTGTGCCTCTGCTAAACTCCCTGAATAAGAAGTGGGGCACCCTGGAAACAGCAGCCTATCATCAACCTGGTGTCATCCAATGATTGCCATGCTTCTTGACTTGCAGATTTGCCAGACATATCTGTGCAGGCAAAAGAGGGGTAGAAACTGGCTTGCTGATCCCTGATTTACACTGATGCAGATAAGAACAAAGGGTTTTCTTTGACTGCATGAATCACAACAAACTGTGGCAAGTTCTTTAAGAGATGGGAATATCAGAACACATTATCTGTCTCCTAAGAAACATGTAGGCGGGTCAAGAAACAACAATTAGAACCGGACATGGAACAACTGATGGGTTTAAAATAAGCTTTACATTGTTCCCCTGTTTATTTAACCTATATGCAGAGTACATGATGCAAAATCCCAGACTGGATGAATCAGAAGCTGGAATTAAGATTGCCAAGAAAAATATCAACAACCTCAGATATGCAGACAATGCCACTTTAATGGCAGAAAGTGAAGAGGACTAAAGACCCTCTTGATGAGGGTGAAAGAAGAGAGTGCAAAAGTAGGCTTGAAAAAAACTTAAGATCTTGGCATCTTGTCCCATCACTTCCTGGCAAATAGAAGGGGAAGAAATGGAAGCAATGACAGATTTTATTTTCTTGGGCTCCAAGATCACTGCAGGCGGTTATTGCAGCCATGAAATTAAAAGATGCTTGCTTCTTGGGAGGAAAGTTATGGCAAACCTAGACAGTGCATTAGAAACCAGGCACATCACGTTCCGATAAAGGTCTGTATAGTCAAAACTATGGTTTTCCCAGTAGTAATATATGACTGTAAGAACTGGACCATAAAGAAGGCTGAGCACCAAAGAACTGATGCTTTCAACTTGTGGTGCTGGAGAAGACTCTTGAGAGTCCCTTGGATTGTAAGATCAAATCAGTCAATCCTAAAGGGAATCAATCCTGACTGTTCTTTGGAAGGACAGATACTGAAGCTGCAGTTCAAATACTTTGGCCACCTAATGAGAAGAGAGGATTCATTGGAAAAGACCCTGACATTGAGAAAGATTGAAGGCAAAAGGAGATGGGGACAGCAGAGGATGAGATGGTTAGATAGTATCATCGACACAACGAACATGAATTTGTGCAGACTCCAGGAGACAATGGAGGAGGCTGGCATGCTATAGTCCATGGGGTCACAAAGAATTAGATATGACTTGGCAATTGAACAACAACAACAACAACAACAACAAATATGAACCAAAGTAGAAATTCATAGGATGATGATTGCTGCAAGAAGTAGCATGAATGAATGTGATATTGTTAGGTGACATGAATGGATGGGAACGGGTTGAAAAAGAGATTGAGCCATATGGGGTACCAAGAATGAACAATGAGATTGCTTAATGGGCACCTTTTTAGAAAAATGTCTGTTAAGCATAAATCTGTTCACATGTATCTATGACAAAGGAAGGAATAAAAAAAACATGATTGATTTAATGATAAAAGACTGAATTACTAAAGCATACAAAGGTGATGAGAGATTTTAAATGTGTGATGGACCATTCTTGGTAATATCAAGAGCGGATCTTGTATATAATGCCATGAAAAAAAGTGAAAACAGAAAAATTGCAAGAGGAGAAAGTACAAGACAATTTCCTACAAACTGAATAATAGGACATGAGGAATGATAATGAAGCCACTTGAAACAAAATAGCAAATATTATTTTAAAAAGTACCACAGTAGAGAAAACGTGTGTGGGAGTTACACTAATGGAAGCATGAAAAATGATGCTTGGTGGAATAATGTAACAGAAAGAGGTTGTGGAATACAGTAGATAATAATTACTGCAAAATATGACAAGAAAAGATATTAAATACTATGTTGGTAAAAAGATGCAAAGAATGTAGTCAAAACAGCATGGAACAGTAAGGTTAGAAGGAGCAGAGAAGATGCATAACAATTTTTATGGAAATAAACAGTTATTATGGGCATGGATGAAAAAGACTAAGCAAAGGGTCTCCAGCACAATGAATGAATTAAAAAATAAAAATTATGAAATGAATTAGAATGAAATTGAGGTAAGAGAATGCTGCAAGACGTATTTTAGAGATCTGTGTGGGAATGATAATAGTATGTTGAGCAGTGGAATTAAAACAAATGCTATAAATGTTAGTGTCCAAGAAAAAACCTGATGCAAAGAGAGTCATAAATGCTGTACGAATTTTGAAAATTCAGTATGACTCTGCATATATAAATTGTGTAATTGGAAATATGTTAAAATACAAACTTAATTTGCTTATGAAGTGGTTATTTGAGCCATTTATTGAACAAAATTCAGGAAATGCTGTGCATTGACCAGATGACAATTCTTCATAAGGTTACTAAAAATGTATGAATACGAGGAAGCAGACTGTTGATTTACAGAAATTGAACAGATAAAAAGGGAATAGATTGGGCTTATGCAACGTTTGTGCACAAATATGAAAATGAAAGGTGGTTGTTGAATGCAATAATTATGTTTGATGGGTGCAAAGCATTTCTGAGAAGATTGCAATGCTTAACAAATAAGTCAACCCTGAGAAGGAAAAAAAAACCAAAATTGTATGATGTCTCCTTGGGTGGTGAAAGTATAAGACATACTTGTGGAGATATTATAAATGTGATGGTTAGGGATGTGATAGTTATGTACATATGTTATCTATTGTCCAGATACATACTGTATGTGCATATATGTCCAAACATAATTCAAAGTGTACTACATGGTTTATGTTACATTATATGATGAACTGACTACATCTGAATAAGCTTGCTGAAGTACCAAAATCAGTCTTGAGTCTTGTTCTCTGACAGCCTTTAAGTTAGTGCAGTCTTTCCTAATCTTTTGCTAGCTGGGAATTTTAGAAGTAGTCCAGTGTAGCTAGAGGATGGGGCTGGTATAGGAAACAGAATAAAACTGACATTTTCTGATCGGAAAAATGCCAAATAAGACAGTGATGGGAAAATGTGATTGAAGAAAATATACATTACATAACATAAAATAATGTGAAAAATACGTTTAAGCAATACACCATGAATGCATTATTTTGCTTACACTAATAAATGAGGCTAAACTTTTATTTGGGGTGGAACATTGAAAACCAGACCTGCTTTTGTAATCCGTTGCTTTTTGGATACCAGGAAAACCATATTTTCTTCATCAAGCTGGGCAGCAAGAATATCGCCTTCCACCATGTAGTATCCAAATATCTAAATTAAAGCCAAAAAATGTATGATATGAAAATTTAAATAATCATGAAAAATAAATATTTGGTTTTGAGTATTGTATGTTGTATAAGAAATAATTCCCAACATTAGGAATGTTTGTGATAGTGTATATGTCTGAAGATCAAGGACAATGAGTCTTGACAGTATTTTAAGTACTTAAGTATTTTAATACACTGTCCATTCTAAAACAGATAATTAGAAAAAAAGTTCATGACATAAATAATAAATAAGCCAGTTTAGACAATGTGTTTCAATATCTATTTCTTTTTATAATTCCTAAGATTTAGATAGATAGATAGATAGATAGATAGATAGATAGATAGATAGATAGATAGATAGATAGATAGATAGATAAACCTTTATTGTCATTTTTTTTACTGTGGGCACAATGGCACACGTTAAAAATGAAATTTAGTTGCTTGCTCTCAAAGTGTAAACATACGTAACACATATTTAAACATACTATATGCAACATATGTATAGACATACATCCTTACATATAAGTAACATATAAATATTAATCACTGTCCATCTTGAATACATAACGGAAGGAGGAAGGTTTAGAGTTCACAAGGTTTATACTGTATGGAACAAAACTGTGACTGAATCTGGATGTTCTGCTTCGGATACCATGAAGCCTCTTCCCAGAGGGTAACAAGGAAAACAGGTCGTGAAGAGGATGGGTAGCATCCCAGGCAATCTTGCGGACCCTGCTCAAGCAATGCTTATATGCTATGTCCTGGATGGAAGGGAGGAAACTGCCAATGATCTTTTCAGCCATCCTCACCACTCTCTGCACCACCTTCCTGTCTGAAGCAGTGATGCTTCCAAACCAGACTGTAATGCCGTATGACAGGATGCTCTTGATCGTCCCTTTGCAGAAAGTGATAAGGACAGGGGAAGAAGATGTGCTTTATTATACTTTACTTTTTACTATCACAGGGCAACCATTATTGAAGCAACATACCTCAAATGGTCTATCTTGCAGAATGTATTCACATTTCAGAATCCAAGACTACCGTGGGATTGAAATTTGATAAAGTTCTGACTGTTTTAGTTCTGCTGCACTGCCATGTTTATGTGATTGTCATTTCCAATGTTCTCTGCCACCTATTGAAAAGTCAGTGGGGAAGCTAGTAGGAAATTGGAAGTCACTCTCGCTTCCACTGCTTTTATAACCTGGCAGTGGACCTTCTGTTTCTCTGTTCAGGTAAGGAAATGTGTCTGAAACAAAAACCTACTGGGTCACAAGTTGTTTGGTAGTAAATAAAACCTGGGAAGAGAGATATCATGAACACTGTCTTGACTTATGGATAAAGCACATTGCATTTGTACAGTCCAATAGAAAAGTGAGAAATGAAAACATCGGGGCTTTCATTTAATAACTATTATAACACATTTAATAATATTTAGACACAATATATATCAATGCATTAATAAATGTTATAAATGCAAGATCAAAAAATGGAAATGCCAGATGATTGGCTGCCTGTTTTATTTTTAGTACCATCTTCTTCTTGTACCCCTAACTCCCATGGCAACAAAATAATCATAAAATGCAGTATGCATCCTGCTGAAACAATATAGTTGGGTTCATTCTGACATCACTACATTGTTTGGATGACTTCAGCATTGTAGGATAACATAGGAAATGGCCTGAGTCTCTGTGTATTTGTTTTGCTGCTGGAATAAAAGGAAAATAAGCAAAAGAGGAAATAAACAGGATTAGTTCCAGCTGAGTTTATTTAAGAGTCTTTAAAGTAAAACTCCCTTGATAATTGATTTCAGATGTTTTGCTTGTTTCCTTGGCAGAAGCTGACTAGAACAATTTGGAATTCATTTCCATGCAATGATCAAAGGAATGAATCTATCTCTTTGCTGAAGACATACATTAAATGGCAAAAGGCATCATTTTTCACATTGGGAGCAGTGAATTTTAACTATAGGGTAGTCTAGATGGACAGGCCATCAAAAGACAGTATTGAGGATTAATTTTTTTTTAGTGTGAAACAGCCTAAAAGCTGTTCCACATTTACTGTAAAATGAACCAAATCTAAAACACTCAGATTTCAAAGTCTGAAACAGGACAATCTTGGTGTGTGAAAAGCTGTTTTGCATTTGAGATAGGATGTTTCCAATTTGAGAGCCTGGATTCAAAACTTTTGCATATCACTAATCAAAACATTTAGAATAAACATTTCCTGTTTCTTTTACTAGGGCAGAGTTTGAATTTCTCTTTCTTCCTTTTCTTCTCACTTAGAAAAGTCTTTCCAGGCCATTGTGGCTTTATTCTTCCTCCTTCTCGTTTATTACAGTGAAACCTCTAAATTTTACTATGCTAGGCACACCGCTCTCTACCTTGTCCCCTATTATTTCTGCTTTTCCATATTTTTGGAGATCTGTCAGATACGATATTGTCAAAAAAGTTGAGTTATCAAAAGAAAAATAACTTACTTCACACCATTCTGTCTTCCCATCTGGGTTGTTGCTAATCTTCCTATAGAAGGTTTTAACATCTTGGGCTTTCACATCTGGACCAAAAAGACTCTTTACTGCATCAAAGAATTTGTCATAATCAATTTCTTCTGCAATTAAAACAAAATAACACACTCACGGAATATAACCACAAAGGCTAACACATCATCTTTTTATTTCTTTTCTCAAAATCACCACTATTTTGTGTAGAAATCCACTATTAATCTTTGAGATTTTATTTTAATCTTTATTTTAACCCAAAAGTCTTATCAATATACGCTGCTATTAAAAGTCTTGGAAATTCTGAAAAAATACAATAAGACGTTTTTGGCTTTGGAGTGTATAATAAAAAGTTTGCAACACTCTGTAAGAAATGTGTAGGGTCCCCATATATCTCACACAAAAAGAAGGAAATTTTTAAAAATTCCATTTATTGCTGCTGAAAGGGTTTTGTTTTTGTTTTTTTACCCCTAATAAATTTGCTATGCTTTAAGATCAGTATTAAACTTCAGGTAATTCTGTAGCAATCTATCCTGTCCTATTCCAAAGGATTTATGGCCCTCTGCTCAATTCTGTTATTTTATAAGGGTCTACATACATATCCATGTCATGCCATACTATACAGTACTTTATTGGTCATACAGCTGTCCTATTAATGTTCTATAGGTGGGACTCTGGACTTACAACTTGAACACTGTGCTGCATAGTTATATTTTATTTGCCACCATTCACGTGTTTGTAATTGCATTTTGCCTTCTTCAGCCATCCAAAAAGGAACTAATAAAAAAGTAAATACATTTATCAGAGAACAATACATCAAATGAAGTATTTCCTTACCAGAATCCTTTACAGGCAGGCCTAATCTTTGCTCCCTTTTCTGAGCAACTGTTTTGTCAACCAGTTGCTTAAACAGTCGCAAGGATCTTTTAAAGAAGAGTCCATCTAGTAGGTCAGGTGGATCATCTTTGTAAATCTTTCTTCTGGACATCACAGCTACTAAGATAGACAAAACACAGAGAAGTTCTTTTTCCAGTCAGTTATATTTACTGCTTTCTGTTGTTATTTCTAATAGCAACATTTGTGGAAATGCCCCCTATAGATCTTAAGTATTGCTTTGGTGAATGGAAAATTGTAACTGCAGCAGCTATGGGGTCAATATGCCATCAAATACCTGATGTCACAACTCCTCCCTCAGTTTGATTGGTCTATTGGCCAATCTAGATCACAAAACCACCCTAGCTGGCAAGCTGATGGCAATAAGGCAAAGATAAGACATAGTAAATTCAAAAGGCAAATTGGCTTTTTAAGGGGAAATATCATGTAACATTTATTTAATTTTATTTCAGCAATTGCAAAGGGATAACATTCTTGTGTTTTAATACAGTTGTAAACCATTTGCTAAAATGCAAGGAAAATTAAGAAGGCCAAAGTACTGTAGATTAAATTAAATAATTTACTGCAGTACAATGTTTCCCAATTGCTGCACTTCAGATGTATTGGGGTAACAGCTCTCAGTCAGAATAGCCTTTGGCTGTGCTGGTTGGAAATAGAACTGCCAATTTCTCAGCTCAAGGAAAGCTGTTCTAGTATAATGCTGCAGAGGTATAAATTAAAGAAAATGTCTTGTTTCCATAGCTTTCCTCATACTAATATCCTCCAGATGAATTGCATTACAACTACATCATCAACCACTATGACCAATAGCCATGGAAACTGAGAAAACAGGGTTGAGAAAATAATGGTTTAACCACTGTTATGTTGCGCTAACACAAACATAATATGGCTGACTTTATTTTGATTTAGGCATTGTGGTTTGCATGTCAGGGTTTATGCAATTGGTGAATACAACCACAGCTTTGTGAATAATCCACAAATTATAAACAAAACGTTTGCTTTGTGCAACATGTCGACCTAGGTTTCTGTGTTCACCAACCATGGTTAGCCCTCTATAAGCGTATAAGATAAGAATCAGTTGGTGGTCAACTACTGTACTCAGTCAAATCTTATCATAAGTATTTTTTCTCTAAACCAGGGGTGTCAAACTGCCGGCCCATGGGTCGGATGTGTCATCCAGAAGCCGCACCCACCCCATTGCCAGCAATGGCAAAACTGGCCTGATACGTTGTGCGACATCACATGACATCACAAGTTTGACACCCCTGCTCTAAACCTAAGCAAGTAAATAATGATTTGGTGGAAAGATTTAGAGCAGGGGTCCCCAACCCCCGGTCTGTGGACTGGCACCTGTCCGTGGCATGCCAGAAACAGGTCCGTGCAAACAAGCAAAGCCCAATCCACAGGATGCAGGCAGCATGCAAAACCATGCCCCCTCCGGTCCACGAAAAAACCTCTCTCCGTGGAACCGGTCCCTGGTGCCCAAAAGGTTGTGGGCCTCTGGTTTAGAGGACAGCAGCCATGCATTTAACTCCAATCAGTTTCAATGATGGAAGATTAGATTTGGTGAGTACTGTAAGTACATGCTGGTTGTATGGTAGAGACTAATGGTGAAGCACAACCTATCTTCTAATAATAATAATTTCTATCTTCTAAGGAAATATAACAAAGTGATTATAGATCAGATTGAACTGTCTTCCTAATTATAATACAAGAATAACTCATTATAGAGTAGCACATCTGAACCCATAGAATGAAAGGCTTAAGTTTCAAACTTTCTTCCCCAGAAGTCCACAAGGCCTACAAGTCCACACCTCTTGTCCTTATACAACTTCTTTGTAGTTGCTGTCTCCCTTTTATTGTATTTTCCATGGAGCATCTCATTGAGATGCTGAACCCTGGCCTCTATAAAAAGGCAGAGCTCCCACAACCTGCAGTGCCATTCTGACAATTAAAAGGGGAAAAGATAAAATAATTTTGATAATGCATATAGTTCATGTCATGTCATGGTCTTTCAGCATATGGATGTATTAATTACTGGTTCAGACCTTCTTGACACCTTTGAAAGAACAATTGCAATGACACTAATTATGCAATGACTGTCAACGCTGCAAATACTGTATATTCTTGCTTTGACAATATGCAGAACTGTCTGGTATTTTTATAGTTAAATCAGGCAACAGTGAAAGGGGAGGAGAAAATAAGGAAAGCCCGGGAAAAAGGAACCGGAAGTGAATCACATCTTCCAATTAACTTGGAAGATGTGAATCATGACCCCAAAATAGGGGAGGGGAAAATGCTTGGAATGTATGTGCAACGGAAGAGAAAATCAGATCTTAGCATTCCACCATGCCGTACTGACATCTCTGTAACCTTAATAAAGACTTTTAGGTTAAAAAAATGCCTGAAAGTTCTTTTAAGTGTTTCGTTAATCAGACACATGACAATGACGTTGTACAAATGACACAGATTATGTACCATCATGATATGGTCATTGCACACATCACTTCCTCTTCCACCCCTTTAGGTCACCATGTATTAGAGTCACCAGACTGGGCAAGGTTGCTCTATAATATTTATTCCCAAATTTTACTCTCCTTATTTAAACGGAGGAAATGTATATGCGGATATTAGCATCTGTATGTGCATTTCAACTGGTTTCAGAGTCTTTCATATATGTACTATGCAGAAGTCATCTCCTTGATCTAGCTGATGGGACTATAATTTTGTTAATGCCAAGCCGAATGATTTGTATTACAAGCTGTGTTAAAGGATTTCCTGATTTGTAATGTGACAGTCCAAATGTAAGCGGAGTTCTATTGTTGACATTTAACTTCCCATAATGATTCCTCGTCAGTTTAAAAATGTACCCAATTGGGGAAAAATACTGGTATCTCTTTTCTCTCACAATTAATAGGTAGTTTCCACAATGGTTATTAAGTTGAGAGAAATATAGCAAAAAAGTAAATATGCCTTCCTGAGCTTTGCCACTACAAATTCAGAATAATTAGAGTTAGGGGAGAAAATCCATCATCCAAGAAGTTCATTCAACCCTCCGTCTAATTTCAAAAGCAAGCAAACAGCTCAAATTGCTGGCATGAATAGACTGCCTTCTTGAGAGTTCTGAATAGAGAGAAAGAATAGCAGTCTTCAAGTCTATACAAAATGCTTTGATTTCTTTCCTTCTTGTATCCAAGGGAATAATGAGATTTTGAGTTTGAATTCTCCCCAATAATAACATCCAACCTGCAGGCAGAATCTAACTCATGGACTATTGCTGTAGCCATTTATCTACAAGAGGGCTCCAATGAAATCAGTGGGCTTTAATTCTATTTAGAATTTGTAGCACTTATGATGCATAAACTTACAGTGTTTCAACTTTAGCCAAGAATAAATGTGCCAGAGAAATTTGAAAAAACTACCAACATGGTTTACGTGACAGTTAGTGAAGTACAAAAGGGCTAATATAAAGGAAAATACAGTTAAAACAATTGTTTGTTTTCTAAATCATCCATCTGTCCTGTAAGAAATTAATTATTCTATATTCTGTGCTAAGAATGTTTCAGCCACTGAACAATTGTAAAGAACAGATTTGACATACTAACAAGTGTTTCAAGAGCATGTTTTTTTTTTTTTACATCAAATATTTTGTGGCGTATTTTTCTTACTGTTCTCTTTGAAATTGTCAGGGCTTCAAAGATGACATTCAGAAATTCTGTGACGTGGAGCTCCACAAAATAAAAATAACTAAATTAATCCAGATTCCTGCTGTGAGAACAGGCAGGAAAGCACTTATTTGACTAGCTGACATACACTACAGCTTTCAAGGAAATTGATCCTTTAAACCCCAATCCAGTGTTCGTTTACCTGGAAATGTGTTATTTAGCAAAAATTGGAAATAGATGATAATATATATCTGTATTTATTAAGGATGTTTTTAAAATGCTAAAAGATAAATATGGAAAAATATAGAAGTAGCAAAAAAGATAAAGAAAAAAGTTGAAAACAATGACGAAAAAAACCTTAATGAAGGAACTTCTTATCTTGTTTACAGTAGTTATAAACATACTTGATACTATTTCCCACCTTCAAAATTACAGAACGTAGTTCCCTTTTCCCCATTTATAGCTATTTTTAATCAGTAAATCCAGAAATTATCAGTTCATCTTCATCCATTTTCAGCAAAAAAAAAGTCCATCAAGGGTTTCTAGACTTTTGTAAATAACCATCTAAATATTAGCTTATGTACTATACCGATGTGTAGTGTGATCGCAATTTTTAAAAGGAGACAAAGAAAAGTTCCAGAACAGTGTTAAGAATATATGGGTAGAAAACATTTGCTTAGATCAGATGTGTCCAACCCATGGCCCACAGGCCACATGCAGCCCTGGACAGATAGTAATGTGGCCCCAAAAATTCATTAATTAGTTAGTTAAGTTGCTATTTATATGCATTAACTATTTTACATATTTTATATGCGGCCCAAGATAATTCCTCCTCATTCAATGTGTGTGACCCAAAGAAGCCAAAAGTTTGGACAACCATGGCTTAGATGTTATAACTAATTATGGGCCATCCAGTCATTACAGATGATAATCTGTCTCTAACTTGATCTTTCAGCTCTTCCAACACTGTACTCATTGTTTCTTTAACCGAGTCTATCCACTTTCCTGCTGGTTGACCTCCTTTTTTCTTTCCTTCCATATTTCCTAGCATTAAAGTGTTCTCCAGAGAGCTAGATCTTCATCTAATATCTCCAGAATAGGATGTTACACCTATTAGTAACACATACACCTTAGTGACACAGTAACAGGGAAATCCAAAAGAGATTATTTACTTTTTGATAAGGTCCATCTTTGCCTGAACAAACACAATAGTCCCTGGGTAAGAGGAGAAGTTACCTTATGAATAGTGAACAGAAAACAAAAGTAGAAATAAATGAAAGTGTTACTGCAGTGATGAAAGGTAAAAAAGTGTTTCACCCCCACCCCCAAGGATCTCTATTGAGACTGGCATTTTTTTCATTTTTAATTGGAATTGAACTGTATGTATATAGTTTAAAAATTGAATTAAAAATCTAACTGCATGTAAACA